GACACATGTTTTATTTTAAATGTGTAATGATGATATTGAGGCACTCGTTTTAATAGAGAATATATAAATGCTAACAATTTATTTACAAAAACAAATTATTTAACAATCGCTAATAAAAGTAATTAAAAAAAAAGGGTAAGTTTTCATTCTGATATTTTTTTAAATATAATAAAAATAATATATATTATAACAAGTTTTTAGTTTTTTTTTATAATTGACTTTTTAAATATATTTTTCATTATGGCCAAAAGAACTGGCAATCTAACATATTAAACTTGCTAGTTTTATAATTTGAACATCTACAAAGTTGTTATTTGTATTTCCTTAAGTAGAAAAAAAGATTTCTAAAAATATTTCTTGAATATGGTGTGATCTTGAAAATCACGATATCTTTGGTTTGAAAATTCATCTTAAGAACCATTAGAATAAAACATTTAAAAAAATCTTATTTTTAAATTTTTATTATACATTCTGTTTGCATATTGACGATCAAAAAAATTTTCTTTGTTTTTTGCTATTTCAATTTCATAGCTTTTAATTGTACATAAACAACTCGGTTGAATCTCAAAAATCGTAATGTTTTTACTGCATCTGTCTCTGCAACTTGCGCTATTGTTTTTATATGTTTCAGTTTGGTTTTGTATGTTTTGGTTAAGTGAATTAATAGAGTTCCGAGCGTTAAGCCATTTAATAATTGATTCTGCTTTACTTTTTTCCTGACATTCTTGATTACAGTATGTAGAGTTTTTTATTGTAGTGACATTTATTAAAAGTTGAAAAAGATTTTCTTTCTTTTTGCAATCGTCGTCGCAACCAAAACTTATTGTTTGATTGCGTTTACTGACCAATCTTGGTTTCCTAACTGATCTCGATGAAATATAGTGTTGACCACTTTTAATGTAGAACCGATAGTTAGGAACCATTACTTTTAAGTCTGGTCTTTTTAAATTTTGTTTCTTTTGGAAAATTGGACTTGTTGCAGGTAACAGAGTTAAAAGGAGTAAATAATACAAAGAAATCCCAATCATATAAAAAAAACTTGTCATTTCATGTTAGAATGTTTTAAACGCTATTCATCCACCATTCAACCATTTTAAACTTTTCTAAAATATATAACTTTTCAACGTTATGAAACTTGTTAGTTTATATATTTCTAAATTCTTTTAATTTTAATCTATAAACTTTCATATAAAAATGTCTGCTATCACATTATCTCTGTCATTATACAAGTGTTAAAACATTGAAATTAAAACATTCAAATAACTTTGTAACTTTATAGTTAAATTCATTTGAAATTTGTAGTCTAAACTTAGTGGATTTATAAAAATGATTATTGACAATTTTTATCAAAAAATCTTTGCACCAAAAGATAAACGTCACAAAGTAATGCATAACAAATGGCATTTGTATCTATGGGTGTGTTAAATAATTATTAAAAATTCTATAGCAACAAGATTTTTCAGATGGTTTAATAAACAACACTCCGGAAAACGATTACCCAATAATTAGAAAAAACTTAATATTTTTAACTTTTTTGTCTCTCTTTTCTTTTATTTTTTTAAATCACATGGCATATCTTTGGTTGTATCTTCGGTCTGTGATTAAATTAGCTTTTAACCAGACTCAAAAAAGATTAACACGAGTGAACTTGACTCCATAGAAATAAATTTAAAGATAATGACCTCAGAAATACTTTTTTAAAAATGACAAAGATTTTTTTAATAATCTATATACTTGCTGTTTGCTTAAATTGCGATAAAGAAATTGCTGGAAAATAAAATCTAGCCTTAGTAAGAAATTGTCTTATCACCAAACCTTTTTACCCCGGCGGTGTTTTAAACGTTCTAAAAATTTAAATTATTAAAAAAATAAAATAGCATATTCACACAAAATGTTAGCAAAGTACTTTAGGTAGTTATATTTTTGTGTAACAATTTGAGAAATAAGATAAAACATAAGAAATATAGAAAAAAATAAACAAATAAATCTTTGTTAAAAAGAATAACATGTTATGATGATTTTAAACGTTAAATATTTAACCTTTTTCATAAAAGATAGTTGACATTTGATATAGTCAATTTCAAATAAATACTGTTTTGAAATTTTCTGAAGAGAAATGTAACGCAAAGCTCTGTTTTTTATTCTTTTTTATTTTAATTTTATTATTTATATATATTTAATTTTATTATTATTAAAAAAATTGTGTTTTTTATTCAAAATTTAATGAAAATATTAGGGAAATGAAAAAAAAGGGAAAAAATACAAACTTGAGTCCCAAAAAGGGTATTTGAAAGGAAGTTTAAGCCTCCTTCCTCACCGATGTTTTAAAACTTGCCCAGGGGTGGCGTTGAACCAAGGATCTTTAGCTTCTGAGGTAAGTGCGCTTATTGAAATATTGGGTAATCTAAGAATCAGTTTAGATTATAACTTTAGCTTTAAACCTAATATTAGATAAGGATATTCCAACCAACGTGTATTAACTTTATTTAATAAAAACTTTATTTGACACATGTAGTATTAACATTATATTATTGTATTGTATTGACATTATATTAGTGATTTTGTTTCAATATACCTTAAATTAAAGCTACATTAATGGTTCCTTTAACTGAATTTGTTTTTTCAGAGTTACAACTTTAGGATGCTTATCAGTTATTGACGAGCATCCTAAAACTGTATTGAAACCGGATGAGAATCCGGTTTTTAAACGTGCTAATACAACATATATAAACCATTAAATATTTTCTTTAAAAATCTTTTGATATCTACAATGAAAGGTGTCCATAAATAATAAACGAGACGTGCCTGTACAAAATAAACTAAACGTACCCATATAAAATAACATAACTAAAATTAAAAAACTACTCAACCCTTTGGATGGATAATTGACAATTTTTATCAAAAAAATCTAATAAAAAATTAGCAAAAATATTGTCATAAATTTTATATAATAAATTTTATATAATAAATTTTATATAATAAGTTTTATATAATAAATTTTATATAATAAATTTTATATAATAAATTTTATATAATAAATGTCAAGAAAAAAGAAAGAAGAAGTACAAACTTTTTTATTTTTTCTCTAATAAAAAAAAACTATTACAGTAAAGAAATTAAGAAATTAAAAAATTTGAATTAAAAAAAACATGGTATGTAACTACCAAATTAACAGACAAGATAAATTCGATTATACTACCTCGAAGAATAAATATAAATAAAAATGATATTTGTCTTCCCAAATCTCAAAATAGTTAAGTAAATATTTTACAAAAATGTTGGTTCAAACCTTGTTAAAAAATCACCACGTAAAATTCATTTCTAATTTATCTTAAATCTTTTAATCGTGCTATATTACACAATAGCAACTTTACTCCCATCGAGTATGAATTAGCCTTTCCTTTTACTCCCATCGAGTATGAATTAGCCTTTCCTTTTATAAAAAAAAATAATAAATCACCTGCTTTCCATGGTGTTTCTAGTCGTTATTGCAAGCAAAAAATCACATTTGAAGACCAGATTTTTATTATAAAATTTTCAACAAACAAAAGGATTTTTCCTTAAGCACCCAAGTTAGAAAAGGTATGCTCAATTTACAAAAATATCGATCAGATATTTTTTATTATTGAACTCTATTAGTATTTTTTTAAAATTATTAGAAAGTAATTATAAATGGAGCCTTTAACTTATAACATAATTTTTTTAGAAAATTTTCAAAAAAAATTTTTAACTGAACACGCAATGATTAAAATAGTAGACCAAGTTACTTAAGGTTTTAAAATAATAGTTTCACAATTGGATTACTTATTGAAAGCATTTTGATTTATTTGATCACTTCATTCTTGTAGAAAAAATAAAACACTACGGAGTGATAAATAAAACTTATGATCGGATAAAAAGCTGCCTCACTGAAAGAAAACAACTTTATTAATAAGGAATCCCGAGAACTAAAAATACTATATGGATTTCCGCAATAATTAATTCTTGGTGCGCTCCAGTTCCTAATTTATGATAATGATTTTAATAATGCATCAACAAAGCTAAACTTTATAAAGCTTGCTGATGACACAAATCTCTTCTTTTTAAACAATGACATTAAACAACTTTATTCTAAAAAGAATTACGAATTAAGAAATGTCAATAAATAGTTTGAGGCTGATAATTTCTCACTCATTATTTATAAACAAAATATAATTTGTTGCATAAAAAAGTATAAAACAATACAACAAAAAACCTAAATAATAATAATAATAAAACACTAATTGCGAAAAATAATTCTGTAATGATTCCATAAAATTCTGAGAGGTTATTCATGAAAGTTTATTTTGGCTTTCCCACATAAATTTTATTTTATGTTGCTTCAAAAGTCTGAAACTAATACATTGTTAATAATAATATTTTAACCTAATACATATATTTTCATTTATTATATCAGAATTACATTAATAAGCACTGCCTTTGCAAAAAGCATGGACGTAAACTTATTTATTGGAAAAGAAATATGAGATTGCAAAACCATTAACAAAAGACATTCAAATAATCTACATATGAATAATTAATATTTATCAATATTGAATTTTATTAGATATTGATAAATATTAAACAAGACCAGTTTAAATTATAAATATTAAACAAGACCAGTTTAGACTATAAAGGAAAAAATGCATTTTTTTAATTACTTTTATATTTGCCAGCAGCCGTATTCTCAACTCTCCGTTAAGCCTAACGGAACTTTTGTCTGAAGTTTTATTACAATATTTCTAAGTGAAGAAATGACAAAAACCTTATTTAAATTTTTTAAAGTTAAAACTAATGCCTAAATAAAACATTTATTTTCAAAAAATTGTATTTTTAAACAAATTTTTTTATTAATGTAGTTAAAATAAATTTTTTACTAACGCTCCGTTAAGCTTAACGGAGAGATAAGAATACGGCTGCAGAATAAGTAAGGTTAGTTTACATTGAATATATTTCCGGCAGGACTTCTAGAAGATCATAGAATCTTTTTATGAAGCCTTTTATAATCCATATCACAAGAAAAAATATAATATTCTAACATTCTTCACAATTTATATAACAAAAAAAAAAATATTAATCAAAACAACTAAAGTACTAAAAATAAATATAAAAAAAATTTTTAAGTTGAAAAGATCATTTATTTTATATTCTGTAAGAATAAGACCATTTATAGAAAAAATCAAAATGCGGTAAAACTATTTTATTCCAAAGAAAAGAATCCGATTGTTTGTTAACATTTTATTTTGCAATAATCAACATATCAAACCTTGCACCAACTTTGAAATCCATCTGAAATCTTAGGAAAAAAAACATTTAAAAAAAAAACTTTTAAAACAAAAGTTTTAACAGTTGCCGAGGTTCATTAATTTTTATTATATAAGCGTTTATTTAAATTTATCTAATAGACGAAGGTAATACAATATTTTTATAGATGATATTATTTTTTAAAAATTGTATTACTATTAAAATTCAGAAATAAAATATGTAAACAAAAAATTATTTACCAACAAGGTTGGACTAGGTCTAAAACATGGACCGGAAAAACCAATAGTGATCTAATGGCAACAGCCTATTTACACTTCTTGTTTTTTTTAAATGTCTTTTAATATTTATAATAAATGGATGGGTGACAGTTTTTTCTATAATCCAATTAATGGGAGGTTGTATCGAATGACGATCTCGCACCCAAACGAAACAGCCCGAGGTTTCTTTAAAAAAGAGACCTAGTTCTAATAAACGTATTTTCACAAGTTTTAAGGTTTGTTAAACTTTCTTATTTTTCAAAGAGATTTGGTTAAAAACGGCAAAAAATGTATTAAAAATTTATGAGAAACTCATTACTCAAGGAGATAATTTCAATCTTCTTAAGGAAATTTATTACGTTTAAAGGAGGTTTTAATTATTTAAGGTTTTTAATGAAGAGCTGAAACCCTGTAACACATTAATAAAATAATACAAATAAAGAAACCATTATGTTTAATAACTAATGAGGTTTAATAATCTTAATTATTAAAACTTTATTTAGTAAAGAACTATGTTTTATAACATCATCAATAATATTGTCGTGTGGTAATTCTTCTAAAATGTATTTATTTAAATTCATTAAGATCCAAGCATCTAAATTGTAAAGTAATAATGATTCTGTAGACAATTTTTTTTTATATAATTTAAGGAAGGAAAACTTTTTTCACAGCCTACTTGTGTGCAAGACAAAGTCAAGATATATTTAGACTGGTAGAGAAGTGTTAAATTTTTCATTTTCAAAGACGATTGTCTATAAGTGTCTCGCGCATTTCAACACATTCATTATTAAATTATAAATAAAATATGAATTAAAAATTAACGATAAAATAATTTGATATTTTTCAAATTTAAAGTATCATCTAATTCAAAATTTGAAGTAGATTTGAGCATATTAGAATCAAATAGGTCGTTAACGTTTTTAGAATTAAAATAGAAGACCTATATATAATAAACCTGTTTAGTAGTAGGTTTTACACAGTGATTCAAGTAGGTATTTTGCTGTCATTAATTAAAAAATATAAATATGTAAGAAAATCATAAGTTATCTTAAGTCCAACCCTGTTTACAAACACTGGACAAGGTTCCACCGTACTTGGAAAACCTAGAAAGTTTGTTCATTTTGGCTAAAGTCATGGAAAACCTGGAAAAGTCAGGGAACTTTTTTTTCTTTAGATAGTCATGGAAAAGTCAAGGAATTCTGATTGAGAAGTTACACGTTTTTCAATTAAGCTATTATGTTTTTTTTGGTGCTACCCATTTAGTTTTACTGAAACTTATGTTTTTCTTATTCATCTTTAATGATAAGATCCATACTAAAATGTATATTAAGATCCATACAAACATCTAACTTAAATAACAGCTAAGTTTTATAAGTTTTGTTATTCAAAGCATGTACAATTTTAGTATTTCCATTATAGTAGATAGTAATTTTAAACATTTTTAAAAACTATTGTTAAAAATTGGCAGGGAATATCATTTGATTTTTCAAAAACGTCAGGGAATTTTATATAAATATTTGGAAAAACATTGTTTTAATATGAATTTTTTTGTTTTACAGTGCAATCTGTATCTCAAACGTTAACGAGAATTGTTTTGTGTCAGTGCCAGAAATTGAATGCACTCCAGCAAATTCCATAATTCATAAAGATATTATGAATCCATTAACAAGTATATATTTTTATCATTAAAAATTTGCCCCACTGTCTTTAATTTTATTTGCTTTATTAGTAGATGTTATATTTACTTTCATAAATTCTAAATATTATATATAATTTGTTGCATAGTTTCTTAAGAATACTATTAACTTTATTGTTTAAAGATAATGTTGCATCCCCTAAAGATATGCAGGTATTATTGGCACAATGGGCAAGCATTGAAGTGCAACTTGGTGAACTACAAAATGCATCAAATTTAACTATATAAAAATTTGAATAACAAAGATATGCTAATAAATGATTTGACTGAAAGAGTGTCGTTGCTATTAAAAACAGTGGAGAATTCAAATACTTTAGAAGAAAAAAGACAAGAAAATACTTAAGCAAATGGTAAATATTTATTTATGATCCTTTTATGCATTTTGTATGATATCTTTGTACAATTTATATACTTTAAACAATATACTCTTTGAAGGTTTTTTTACATGAGATTTTATATTAACTTAAGTCTAACCAAAAGTAACTTTTATTATTGCTAGATTGTATATTTTTGCAGGTTAATTATTTGGGACAAATTAGAGTTAAAGAAGATGGAGATTGTAAATGTTATTTACTAAGAATAATTTTTAAAAATAGTCTAGCTGTAAAATGCAGGGATATGACATAAAATCGAAATAGGAAAAATGTTGATTGCATATTTTGCTATTGGTAAGTGGTTTACAAGTCTAATTTTTCAGTTTCAATTTTGCATTACACAATTACTTTCTAATCTAATAAGAGTCTAATAAAATGGAAAAAATAAATATGAGATACTCAATCAAAAACATTCTGATACCGTCGGAAAAAGACTACAAATTAAAACTACTCGAGAAAACCGATTCGTTTTTGAAAAAAAATGAGATGGAAGGCATTTTATTTTATCAATAACAGTTTAGCATACAAAGATAACAAGGACTATATAAGCTAAGGAATTAATTCAACCAAATGTCCACCTCAAGTAAAAGAAATGTCTTTTTTCGAGAAAGATGTAATATATCTAATTAAAACAATAAAGTCAAAAACACGTTTCAAGATAATATAAAAAATGATATAAAATAAGTAAGAATGCAAAGAAAATTTATATAAAAGCCAACAAAACATCAAATATGTATAAATTATCCGAAGAATATAACCACCTTTTAAAAAAATGCTATTACTGCCACCTACAAAAAAGCCCACCCAAAATTAATAGATAAAATAAATAAAGAAGGTAAGCATGTTTTGCAAAACCATGATGTTTATGATAAAATCAAGATAAACGGGCTTTCTGAATGTTGCTTAACTTTATAAGATCACAAAATTTTTTTTTGCCAAAAACCATGCAGACTTTTGAATCCAACGAAAAATGAGATAGGAAGAATTAGCAAAATTATTTTATCAAAAATTAACAATGACTACGAAGTAAGTTATTTATTAATCAATGGCAAAGCACTTTAAACGTCACTGATTGGTTTTTGAAATTTAAGGATAAACATCTTTACAAATTTTTAGTTTTCGACATCGTGATGACGGGCTAGCGATATTTAAAAACAAAAATGGCCAGTAAAAGGAGAAATTTAAAAAACATTTTGTAAAAATTTTTAAAAGTAACGATCTTATTTCCACCCAATGCAATATGAAAATAGTTAACTACCTTGACGTAACATTTGATCTCAATAACAAATCTTTTCAACCATTCCGTAAATGCGACAGTAAGCTGAATTATGTTCACTCTGATTCATACCACACACCTAATATTATCAAAAGACTCCCTGGCACTGTTGAATTAAGATTATCTGCCACATCAGTAAACGAATCTGTTTTTTATAATGCTATCCCACCTTACAAAGAAGCTTTAAAAAAGTGTGGCTATAATTGTAAGTTCAAATACCAACCTTAAGTCACCTTGACTAAAAACAAAAACTGAAAGCAAAAAGTCATATGGTACAACCCTCCGTTTAGTCGGAATGTGGAAACAAAAATCGGCAGTCGTTTACTTGCATTAATTGAATTGCACATTCCAGTAAACCATAAATTTCACAAAATATTTAATAGACGTTCAATCAAAGTTAGTTATAGCTGTATGCAAAACGTAAAGTCTATAATTAGTTAACATATTCACAAGATTTTACACAGTGATACAAATGTGAATTCAAGAACTTGCAATTGCATCATAAAGACTGCTTTCCCATTGAACAATCAGTGTTTGTTAAGTAATATTGATTATCAAGCTACTGTGATTGATGAAAATGCTAATCCTAAAAAAAAAGAAAAAATATATAGTTCGGTATCAGCGAAACACCATTCAAACTTAGATATGCAAATCATTTAAAACCGTTTGATGATGTGAAATACAGAAATGATACCGAGCTTTCTAAGGAGATTTGGAATTTGAAAGAAAAAAACAAAGCACGCAATAAAGTGGAAAATTATAAAACGCTGTAAACCCATTAAAACAACATCAAAAATTTGTAACCTCTGCCTTCATGAGAAATTTATAGTTTTATATCACAAAGAAAACAAATTTCAACAAATTTCCAACAAATTTCTATTGTCTTCTTTTGATATCAGAGACTAAATAGTTAGGCCTTTTATTAGGTCAGACCGTAATTTTTAATTCATTTGTGAAAGATTTTTTTTATGTATATAATAGTTGATAATAAGTGCCGTGTATGGCACGAAACTCTAAGTACTTTTGACAATGTTGTTTTTCATTTAAACAAAATTTAAATATTTATTGCTCTATTATAGTAATATTGAGCACTGTTTTACGTTCATAAGTTTTATATTATTTTTGTATTATTTTAATATAATACATAAACAACTAATCAATATATACAGGGCCAGCGCAAGTAGGTGTCACGTGGGGGGGGGGGGGGGCCATTACAACTTTTGCCGACTTAAAAAAAAAAAAAGGTCCTCGTTTTCCAAAATTTGCCGACTGCCATGACGACGATTACGACTAACCTATATCGAAAGGATCGACATTTGCCGACTATCTTGTCTAAAAGGGTCCAATTTGCCGACTAAAAATCATTAATGGGATATATACATACATACATACATATATATATATATATATATATATATATATATATATATATATATATATATATATATATATATATATATATATATATATATATATATATATATATATATATATATATATATATATATATATATATATATATATATATATATATATATATATATGTACAGTCGACTCTCGATATCTCGAATACTTGAATCTCGAATTTTTTTAGCGGTCCCATGGACATAACGTACTAGTTTCGGCTAAAATCCTCTTGATATCTCGAAGCTTAATATCTCGAACTTTTTGGTATCTCGAACAATATTTTCGGTCCATAGGGCAATTTTTTTAAATTCTAATTTTTGGAAAAAATTAATTTTTAATTCGATTTTTAAATTTGATTTTTTTTAAGAATCGAATTTTTAAAAAGTTTTCCTTTAATATACAGTCATTCCGGGTAACTTTAAACGCTTTGCGCTAGGTTTATCTCAACAAAATTTTTTTTACAAACTAGTTAACAAATATTTTTACATAAAAGGTGTTCTGATGATCTCATTATTTCAAGTTTGTTATCATTTTTTCAAATTTGCTAGTTATTTTGTTAAAAAACAAAGTTTAAGAAGGGGTTAAAAGTTACACTTGCGTTTAGGGTAACTTTGAACACTATTAAATTAAATGTCAATTTTAATCAATAAAAATTTTTCAATAAAATATTACAAATCACTAAATGAACTTGTTGATCAATTTTTAAGGTTATGAAAGAAAAAATAATTAAGACATCATTTCTATATAATTCTACACAAATAAACACATGTGACTATAAAACTAAATATTACAGTGTTTAAGTCCATTATTTTAGTCTTGAGTCACAACTAATTCTTTAATCGAATAATTATGATCATGGAAAACAAGTATATTGTGATTGTTTACTTGCTCTAATGAAGAAACTGCATCATTTTGAGATACAACTTGCTCATTGTCTTTAATAACTTGATTAACATCTACATTGCTTGAACTTTGTGAAACATTTTTTTTGTTTATTTTCATAATTATATTTTTAGATCCAAGTAGTCTTCCTCTTTTTTTTGTTCGAATATTATCTTGATTTTTTTTCTTATTGTCTCTTAACTTATAGTATGCTTCTACCTCAGTGGCTGATACACTTTTCCCTGCTGTTATTGGTAACTTGAATTTTTTGCTTGCTTCATAATTAAAATTAGATGTATGAGATGAATATTTGTAAAACTGGGTAATTTCGAGAGAACATGTTCAGGGTCGAATTGATATATGCCAGTAGCCTTAAATCCTGCTTGTAGATTATGTTCTAGATTTTCTTTACCAACATTAAGAGTAGATTTTATGAACTGCGAAAATAAATTTTTTGGTAGGTTATTAATTTTTATGTTTTATGCCATTGGTTAAGAACTGACCTGCAATTAGCATTTAAACTCGAAATACCCAACATCTAGAGGTTGTAAAAGGTGTTAGGAATTGGTTACCAAACATATAATTATTATATTATGCTTTTCACATATATTTAAGGCTTTTAAATATATGAGCACTTAAATTCTCACAAATCAGAATTTTTTTACCTTCCTTATTTATAATATTTGGAACAAAGTGATTTAACAGCCACTCTTCAAATGTTTGAATCTCCATCAAGCCACTGCAAGAGGTTCCCATTCTTAATCCTTCTGGTGCATTAAAAAGCCAGTCAGACCAACTGTGTTTTCCTTTAAAAATGAGGCATTTCCACAAAAAACAACAGTGTAACAAAACTGTAGTGTTTCTTATAAGTTCTGGATGGTGAGAGGATCGACGAAAAATTAGTTTTTTTTCCCAGGGTCGTCATGAAAGCCTGTCAAAGAAAATACCAAAGAAAAAAAAATTTAAAAACTTTTACACGTTTTATTCCATGTTACACACAAATTCAAAGTTACCCAGAATGACGGTATTAATTTATTTTTTTTGTCAAACGCAACTACATGCCACTCGTTAAACGAAAACTCACGAACAAATCTATAATAAAAAAATGCAAGGCATTAAAAGACCTAGAGACAGGGATGTCTAACGAAAAGGTTGCCAAAAAGTATGAAGTCCCAAAGAACACATTATCAACCTAGATTAAAAATAAAACCAAGTTATTAACCTCTCTGGAAAAAAATGGCACAAAATCTAAACGGAAGAAACTTCGTAATGGTAATTTCAAAAATGTAGACAAGGCCATATACACGTGGTTCGTTGCAGAAAGAAGTCAACAAGTACCAATTGATGGTACCATGTTAAAAGAAAAAACACTAAAATTCGCAGGAGCATAAGGAGAATTGGATTTTAAAGCATCTGATTATTGGTTTCATAATTGGAAAGAAAGGTCAGTTAAATTTTGTCAAATCTTGTTCAATTTTAATATAAACAAATAACATGTATCTGTTTATATTTAATTTATTTAGTTTTTTAAACGTGTAAATTTCAATTATTCTGTTCCTATTTTTAGGAACGGCATTAGCTTTAAAATAATCTCAGGCGAAAGTGCCGCCGTGACGAATAATATGACTGCTTCGTGGAATGAAACTACACTTCCAACATTGCTTTTGAATTACAAACTTGAAAACATTTTCAATGCCGATGAGTTTGGACTATTTTACCAGTGCCTACCAAGCAAAACATACGATTTATCACGAGAAAAATGTTTTGGGGGAAAAATCCACGGTGTTTTAAGCACATTAAACAACTTCCTTGCACATATAAAAATCAGCTAAAAAGTTGGATGACCGGAGACCTTTTTACAGAATGAATAATAAAACTTGACTCATTTTTTCGTGCTCAAGACAGCAAAGTACCACTCCTGGTGGATAACTGTTCTGCCCACCCACACATTGAATGGCTAAGCAACATCAACCTAACATCCCCCCCCCCTCCCTTCCTTAACACCACATGTGTCCTTCAGCCCATTGATCAAGGCGTAATACGAAGTCTTAAAACTCATTATCGTTACAAAATTGTGCGTTTGTGTATCAAGGCTGTTGATAATAACAAACCCATGCCAAAAATTTCTATACTTCAAGCAATGAAAGATCTTGTTTCTTCGTAGAATGCTGTGTCGAAGGAGACTGTCATCAACTGCTTTAAAAAAGCTGGTATCAGCAAAACAAACAAGAGTATTGAAGAAGCTGATGATGATCATCCTTTTAAATTTTTGACAGAAGAACTTAACCATTTGCGAGAGTTAGATCCTCGTACCGTCCGGGAAGATCTCTCAGCGGAATCTTACATTGGTTTAGATTGCAATGTAGTAACCACCAGTTCACTTGCTACTGATTCTGAAATCATTGCTCAGATTTTAGACCCAATATTGAAAACGACGATAATGAAGTTGAAGATAGCGTTGACGAAGCTATTGACGTCGAAGCCCCGCCACGCCCATCTGATATTCAATTAGAAATTGCTTTTGAAACAATTCAAAAGGCTTCGCTATACAGCTCAAAATACGGAAATGAAATACAATCCCTAGCACTAAAACTTGAGGATTTAATGAAGATGGAAAAGATGGATAATTTAAAGCAATATCAGATAACAGATTTTTTCCAAAAGTTGTAGTTTTTGTTGTTAATGATTTTTTCAGAAAAATAACTTATTTTAATGAAAGTCGGGCAATTTTATTTATTTTCAACCCTTTTCTTGATATCTCGAACTCTCGATATCTCGAACTTTTTTTCCGGTTTCCTTAATGTTCGAGATATCGAGAGACCACTGTATGTATATATATATATATATATATATATATATATATATATATATATATATATATATATATATATATATATATTATTGTATACTTATAATGTTAAATGTATACTTAAATGGTTTTTAAAATTATTATTTTATTACTATTTCTATACTTGTTGAAAATTTAGCTTCTGAATAATAACAATTGAATAATTTTCTGCACATTTCATAATGCTTTTGTACTTATTTAAGACTTAAATAAGTACAAAAGCATTATGAAATGTGCAGAAAATTATTCAATTGTATATATATTCAAAAGCTAAATTTACTTAAATAAATACATAGCACTAAAATTAAGTTCTATGTAAACATATTTTTTTGAAAATTATATTTAGATAAAATTAGATTCTCCGCTTTGGTCAGTTTTATGGTATTTCTTACTTCAAATTTTTTTTTTTTTTTTGTCAATATTTTATCTTTACATAGCTGATTTTATTATATTTTAGTTTAAACATGAAATGAAAACTTGTTTTTTTTTCGGGATTGTTTCAATGACAGTGATGAAGATTCTCTTGAAGGCTTGAAGATATATACACACATATATATATATATATATATATATATATATATATATATATATATATATATATATATATATATATATATATATATATATATATATATATATATATATATATATATATATATATATATATATATATATATATATATATATATATATATATATATATATATATATATATATATGTATATATATATATATATATATATATATATATATATACATATATATATATATATATACATATATATATATATATATATATATATATATATATATATATATATATATATATATATATATATATATATATATATATATATATATATATATATGTATATATATATATATATATATATATATATATATATATATATATATATTTATATATAAATATAGATATAGATATAGATATTAAGATGTATTTCTTAAACAGTCATGAG